TAGAGGAAAAGGTCCGCCATTTTCCCATACATTCTGGCTGCCGCAAGCGGCGGACCATGCAGGCAGACCCTCTGGGTCCCAAACACGGTTACATCATCAGAGCAGTTTCGTGAACTTCAACAATCCACGAACTTACCGGTGGAAAGATACTCGCGTTCTTTTCGAAGGTTTCTTTTTGCATAGCGCGCAGATGTACGGCCTCGCGTTAACGCTAAACTAAACCATATACCCGGCTTCGCTGGTGGGGCGCGGCTGGGCGCGGTTGAGGAATACGAAACTGCGCAACCACCAGATTTCCGAGATTTCGACAGAAGGGAAGTTAATGCAGCGTAATGACTTTATTGCTTTTTATAAGCGTTAGAATAGCTCAGAATTTAGTTTACAACATTAAATTATCACTGTTTATATTGCTGAGAGTTTTCACTCTCCGTGTTTACCATGGCAACGTTGCTTTCTTTCTCTCGTGTTCTGTCGCTCTCTTTTGCGATCGTCCACTCGGGACCCAGGATGTCGGCGCACGGGATTTGCCACTCCTCCTCACCCACCTTTACCCCCCTGCCCGCGCCCCACCGGCGAAGCCGGGTATATGGTTTAGTTTAGCGTTAACGCAAGGCCGTACATCTGCGCGCTATGCAAAAAGAAAGCTTTGAAAGGAACGCGAATATCTTTCCCCCGGCAAGTTCGTGGATTGTTGAAGTTCACGAAACTGCTCTGATGATGTAACCGTGTTTGGGACACCGAGGGTCTGCCTGCATGCTCCGCCGCTTGCGGCAGCCAGAATGTATGGGAAAATGGCGGACCTTTTCCTCTAGAGTTAGTATGTATGATCTCTACGGGATTGCGGGACTCGCGCGGTACGGAACTAGTGGGGTGAAGCTCTCGGCTACTTCCGTCCCGTCGCGTATACTTATGACGTCCGTCCGGTCCGACGAACTGCTTCCGAATGCCGCGCTCGCAGCGGGTGTTGGCACTTGTCATTTTATTTTAAATAAATATGATTCATATATTTAATGATGCCAAATAAAGATGAAGTTGTTTTGAAGGTGTGAATGGCTTTGAAGCTTGTTATGGAAACTTTCTCTTTCACTCTTTCAACGTGTCTGGGCGCGCTTTCTCTCTCTCCGAACCCGCGCCTCGCGCTACGGTCGCCTCGGTGGATACATGGAGTCGGTGGACGGTTAGAACTCGCGAGGGATGCGAGACGGCGAGCTGTTTCGCTTCTGGGAGTGCGTCGCGGCGCGAGATTCGTGCCGCGTTCGTGCGCGCGCGGCTTTCTTTTCTTTTTCGTCGGAACTCGTTGTTTTTGTAATGTGGTCAAGCATGGATTTTTGTCATCACCACACCACCTGATGTGCCAAGTGGGGAAACAATGACTGCCGAAAGCCGGGACATCAATGGTTTCGAGCTCCAATGGACGTGCGGTACGCTCTTTTGGTCTTCTCTTGCTTAACTCCCTGATTAGATGTTTGCAACAAAACCTAATTTTCGCAGTGGTAGTGAGAACTAATTGTTTGATCTTGGCAATAGCTGCGATGGTTTCCAATCACAAAACCAAATCCTATCATTGTTCAGGATTGCTCTTCACTCGCCGCGAGAAATATGTCATTGTCAAATTACTGGAGACTTCTGTGTCATATCAAGATCGAGCACATATGCTCACTTTAAAAGATGGGAAACTTTTTGTTGTGAGCTGTTTATTTGGCATTATTTTCAGTGATTCACGCGTCTGTTCACGAGGAGTGAAAATGAGCCTAAATATTTTTCGATTAACTGAGGATGAGCGATCGAGCGATCCGCTCTGGTTTCCCGTTTCGTTTAGCAGTGACGCACTCCTAAATTTAAGTGAAAATAATAAAAACGAATGCAGGTTCTCGATGAAGACTCAATACCATAGAGCTGAGCTGCTTTTCTTGACCTCATTGCTTAGTTTCCTTTAGTTGCAAGACACCGTCGTCGGTCTTTATTTATATGCTTACTTATATAATCAAATTCAAAATGATTGTCAATTTCGCTTGGAGGCATTTAAGTCAAGGAGAAGAAAATTAGAGGAGACACGAGTTTTTAGTATGGCAGTGTTGAACTCCAAGTACCGTTTTTTTGAAGGGAGGCGCAGAACAAGCTCGCTGTTTTCATATGACCATATATAGGCACGGAATGGCCAATCAAGCAATTCAACTTTTTTTTTCTAGGCTCCACGCCTGTGGTTGGACGGCGTAATGCCTGTGAGTATACGCCAAGAAGCTCGAAAATGATCACGAACCTAGAGATTTTATGTAAATTTAGCGAAGTGTTTTTGCAAGGACGCATATCATCACCTTCGTCGCACGTAACCTTAACGTTTCATCCTGTTTTGTTTTTCATTTCTTTGATTCTTGTCTGCAAAATAGTGAAACATTTCGTGTGTATTTTCTACTGTCTGTTGAATAAAAATGAACGCAAAAGGACAAGCATTGCATATTTTTTGTGTATGTATCACTTTCGTTGCTTTGCTAGGTTTCTGCTGCTTTGCTGCTGGTCTCACTTTTCAGTGCTGGCTTGTGTGCGTTTCAACGCATATTAACCAGCACTGAAATGCGAAAACCAGCCGCAAATCAGCAGAAGCCTAGAAAAGCAACGCGCAAACCGGGCAAAAAAAAAAGAAGCTACAATATATATATTTTTAACTCTGGGTGGCGCAAGCTACCGCCCATCCATCCAAACACAATGGCGCTGCCGTGCAGTTTCGGTTTTGGTTTCGCTGTGCCGCCATGTTGATTTTAGTACAGCCACCAGATACCAGGGGAGTCAAATGGCGCTGCGGTCTCCCAGGGTTTTCCAATTTGCGTTCCATGGGCGGTATAGGAAGTTGCACTCCTCTGACACAACTACAGCACTGCAGTCACTACAGTAGCGAAACCACGCAAAACTGTGTCGACGTTTTCGACGTTATGGAAACCGCAGGAACTGCGTTCAAGACAGGCAGGTTTTGCTACCGGCTGCCTGGGTGCCTTCCCCCCCGAGTTCGGTTCTGTTTTCCGATGCCGAGTGCAACCGGCGTTCAACGTGGTTCTGTGTTTGTGTGTGTTAGCAACATAGCTGCAACATCGTGATGGCAGTGTTGTGGGTTGTGAACAGAAGACTGGAATTATCGCCGATGTGACCATGTGTTCGCGTATCAGTGGTGTAACAAGAAGATGAGATCGTAAACTGTTGGGCATTGATGCCGCTGGTCGGGCCGTGATCGGAGGGGGCGGGGTGTCGCAGGTTGGCATTCCGCTTTACATTAAAAAGTTTAATACCACTTCAGGGATTACGTGCAATCGATCAACGTGCGAATACTCATGTTGGAGCGCTGGTTTGAACAGTAGAAGCTCCTATCGTACAGTGGCCAATGTGACTGTCGGAATTGTCTCGTCCCCGAGAGCGATTGCGCTCCTCGGGCAAGAACTGAACAGTACGAAATCGTGACGGAAAGTACGTATATTTACAGTATGGAATTTCGGCATTAAAAAACAATAGGTAAAATCGAAGAAAAAATGCTACCCTTTATTTTGCTCTTTAAATATACTACGGTTCCTGGAGAAACTGCCCTCCGTGGCGCGCTGGGATGAGCGCAAGAAGTTTGCCCAAATTTCAAGACTGGGTTGGACCTATCTTGGACGCGACTTCGTAGTCATTTCAACATGGCGGCTTGCTGATGTGATGTCGCATATGGGATCGCCGCGTTCAATATTTGTGTCCTGTAATTGCGGTGTTGCCCTCGGTGACGGGTATTTTTCGCCGAGAGAAGCGGCCATTCCTCCGTGATTGAATGCATCCCACCGGGATATGCGACGACGAACGGCAACGGCGCGGGAGCTGCTCGGCCGCGACTTGACGGCCTGATCCGAACGGCGACAACAGGCGGCTGCCGCTGATACCCAAGCTACAGTTGCTCGTCACGCTGCGACTTTTGCTGGCAAGATGTTTCTAGCTGTCAACATTTCACAACAGACGGCGTGCGGCGCAATCGGGAGAGTGACGCGTCTCACCGTAAGGCATCTGTTGCTCGGACTGCTCGGACTCGTCCACTTCCCCGGCGCTCCCGAAATCATCCGCCTCCTTCGAGTAACCGGGTTCACGCACGCGTGTATCAAGAGCCCGGGCCCCGGTGGCGATTATGCGGACATTTACGAGAACTTCAAAGCAGTTGCCTGCATAAACTATCAGGTGGGTTCCCCCGCTTACCGAAAATAAACAAGTCTCCAGAGCTTCTGGCGCGAAGGACCTGAGCAAGCATGTGTGGTGCGCACGCACGTTTGCTGATGCAAGCTCTTGACTCCTAATATGTAACGTTCCCTGTATGCATGCTAGCAGTTGTTAAAAACAAAAAGCGCCGAAAAAATACAAGGACACAGAAAAAGAGAAACAGGACAAGGCGCCTTGTCCTGTTTCCCTTCGTCTGTGTCCCTGCATTTATTCGGCGCTTTTTGTTTGCAATGAACCAACTGCCCCAAATATCCACTTTATTGCAGCAGTTATTCCCACTTCTTTGTTGTTTGTGCTGGATTACTTGTTTTAAAAAAATGACGTGTAGTATGTACTTGCCCCCTGCGTCAGTAAAATAAATATGAAAAATCAGGAATGCTTTCTAGTTTGGTGTTGCCATGCATTTCAACTTCTCAAGTGATCTCGGAAGGGTCAAATGGCTGCTTAGAACAAAATTGGTCGTATAGCTGCTGAAAACTCGCTCGAATCCATTTACAGATGCGACACATTTCAACAATTTTTTTAACAAGTTTTGATGTGTTGTTTCATTACTGTATTTGTTCAGTAGCTGTTCACCACAAAACATTATACTTCTCGAATTACATCTCGCTTAAAGTTAGTCGAAAGGCTTTCTGAAAGAAGGCATATCTTCTTTTCTTAAGATTTCTGCAACATTTGACAAGTGGATGTGTCGAAAGCATTGTTTAGTACTATGCTGAGGAGTGTTTACCAACTTTCCCCGAAACAATATCTAATGAAACAATAGCCACCGGTTTAATTTTTTTTTTGCTCTAAAAGATTTATTACTATGCACAGGTTTGCACCAAGCTCGATTCGCGGGCACAACACTTTTGTGCCCACTCCACAATCAAAATATTATTGCCTCGTGAAGAAAAAAATACATCACAATTCTTCCACTGCAATAAAGGCGAGACAAAGTGAGTTGACCTTTTTATGATTGTTCACTCGCACTAAACTTCACACCCATGCACATATTATCTGCATGCAACCTCCATAATGAAGATGTTGGGATGATAATTTGTCAAATTCTTGAAAACATCATATATTGTCTCTCTGACTCGTAACATTTATTAACTCATTCAGGTACAACACCGCCCAAATAAAGACTCGCAACACTGCTGAAAGAAAAAGACAATCCCTATGCCTCGTTGGGTAGTTGAAATCATCACTATGTGCGCAGCATCACGTAACCTAGGGAAAACGAGCCATCCTTGCTGCTCTGCCAGTCATACCAGCCAGGGGACAATGTTGAGAAGGTCAATGCGACTGCCAGCTGAAAGGGGTAGAAAAACAAGCCGTCTGAAGCCAGAGTGGTACTGTATAGGTATGGTGCGTGGAATGCATCTCCGACTGGTGTGTCTAGAGTGTCCAAAGAAGTGGTCCCTCAATTTCTGCCCGGAGCGTCATATAAGTGTCATACTGTCGCCGGTCGCAATCCTCCCAGCGGCGGTGGTTGATGTGGCAGACGCCTGTTCTGCTGCAGGTCACTCTCCAGTTCGACAGTCCACTGAAGCTCCAGCAGCCGGTGGTTGGGACACCGTGACAACAGCGACACTCGTGTTCGCCTCGTGGTACTCGCGGCTGCTCTTTAACTTTTCAATGGCCAACCGCCAGGATCGCAACATGCAATAGCGTGACACTTCGACTTCTGTGACGTCATTCGTTGCCTCTTCGTGACCACTTTTGATGTATGGGCAGTAAAGGAGGCTAAACACACCAGTCGAAGACTCGCTCCAGGCACCATACTCGTCAGGTAGTTGAAATGGTCACTCCGTGCACAGCATCACGTAACCTAGGGAGAATGAGCCATCCTTGCTGCTCTGCCAGTCATGCCAGCCAGGGGGCAATGTTGGGAAGATCAACTGCAACCTGAAAGGGGTGGAAAAACAAGCAGGCTAAATTCAGAGTGGTACTGTATAGGACCCCCCTTCCTCGTGGCACCAATGAAATGGGGATAATACGTATGTTGCACGGTGTGCACATTTTCAAACTTTTGAGCACATAATGAGCCACAGTTCATTAATCACAATCATTCATATAATCCCTAACTGAAATGCTTTGTTTAACTGATGTTTATGTATATGATGTTTATCACAAATATGATGTGATTTATGCTTTGCTTGGGCATAATGACCTAAACCTAGAACAGTCGAAATAAGATAAAGATGAAGGAAGGTATGCAAAGCGACCATCCATTTCATATGCGCACCTCCCTCCATCCTTGTCTTGTTTGCATTTTTGTGATCTTCTCATTTATTATGGGATCATGCTTTTTTCATTATTTTACAAGTTATTTTCTCTTTGATTCTTGCATTTCTAAGTGGCATGCCTTGTGAATGCTGTGTCCTGCATGTTTCTTTCCCCAGTGAAAATACCCGTTTTCTTTTCTTGATTGTGTTTAGAACTAATGTGAACCCTGTGCTAAAAATATGGTGGAACGTATTGTTTCCTTTGTTTACGTTTCATTACTCGCTGCACACTTAGAAATGTATGAGCCTCAATATTGCTGTCCCACTTCCGAAATAAAAGAATTTTAATGGCTGCAACCTGTGCATTAGCCTCCTTGTTTGTCTTGTAATCATGAAACACTACCGACACGAAACCTGCAAAAAGGGAATGGCTCAAGCTGTTGACAAACAAACATACAGACCAGAGCTGCTTATTTAGATACATATCCCAACATGCGGCTCTGACGGGCAAACACAAAATAATTTTCTGGAGGTGGCCCTGCACATCTAGAGGCCCTGAAAGACTCCAAGTTTTGTTTACAGATAGATGAGATGCTAAATTATAGAAAAAAAATCATTCTGACCAACCTCGTATAGCCTACACCAAATGCTGCACATACATTTGGCAGTTGAGGAAAATAGAAGGAGTGCAAGCTTGTGCTTACATCTAGGAAACAACTGTTCTGGTGAACAATTTATCTCCCGGTGGTCCACAATGAGTGCATTTCAGTCATCAGTTTAATATTGTGCACAAATAGAAAGGAACAGAGGAGAGAGAAAAGACAAGCACAAACTCGCAATTCAATGTATTGAAGGAAGAAAAAAGAACAGCCTGTAGCAACAGCTCGAGCCGAGGCCACACCGGCCTCGGCTCGAGCTGTTGCTACAGGCTGTTCTTTTTTCTTCCTTCAATACATTGAATTGCGAGTTTGTGCTTGTCTCTTCTCTCTCCTCTGTTCCTTTCTATTTGTGCACAATTTTAACAATGTTCTATCATTACCAACTCGCCCAACTAACCACCTTAATTCAGTCATCAGGTTTTCTAGTTTATGCAAATTTTCATAGTCACTAAACAGCCTTCTCAGGTTGCTTATATATTTCCAAGCTTAGACGTTGTGCGAGTCGTAAGCTTGTGAATGCAAACTAGTGTGTCACAAGCTTCATGGTTGTGTGGCGCAGAAGAAAAACAATGTGACGAGGACACGAGAGGAGGGCCATGGTCGTAACAAAAACGGCTCGGGTCCTAAATGACTTCCTATTAAACAATTACAGTGGTGCGAGCATTTACTGCCGTAGCCAAAGATGTTCAAGCAGCCAAATAAACACGGCACTGAAGAGTACAGCGACGAACTGATGGTTGCCACTGAACTCAACAAACGATCAGGGTGTCACAGTTGTCTTGAAACAGTCCGGCATATGTTTTTATGAACAAGTAGAATGTCTGGCCGTACTGAAACATGTCATACCAATCTCTGGAACAGTGTGTCGCATGCAGAATTGGGCAGCCACAACTTTTCAGTCAGTGAAGCAACTGCAGCTCTGAGACATGGTCGCACAGGCGGAAGAGCGATGAGCGGCCTTTCACATGCAGACAACGGTAGGCCGTAAAAGCAAATTTCTGCAGTCACGTCAGCGGGAAGAGATGCTTTCTGCTGTTAGTCCACTCGTTTGCAGCATTGCTGACATTGATGTGGTGCTCCCAGGCATCATAGTCACTCATTTATGAGAAGACAATGGGTACCGACCTGTAATGCTTGATAGACATCTAACAGGAAGTCGCCTAAGCCCTAAAGTGCCCTTTTACGAAACCACAGCATGCAGCTGCATTCAACAGCTTGAGCGCTTTACTCATGTCCTCGTTACTTCATCTTTCTCCTGCTCAACAGACGGTTCCCCTTCCTACCAGTGCACCATTGGCTGCAGCAGCACACTGACTCGTTGTGGACAGGGGGCACTCACTGTGCACAGGGGGCACAACATGACCATGCTCATTTACTTGCCTGGAAATTAGGTTCAGCCCAGACCGCATTCACTGGCTGAAAAAGCAGTTCCCTTCCTAAAAAAAAAAGAAAAGATTATGTAAGGCACTTACATGAAATATACAAGATGTAACCACAAAGCTAATATTTCCTAAGGTGCTACTCCTGCTCCTGGACTTCATCTTTAGGGAAGAGACTTCTGCAAACCGTATAAAATGGTTTGACTTCAATCCACGGCTGTCACAAATGAGAGAGTGGCAGCGTCGCGACTATTAACAGCCGAAATAATCAAATAGAAATTAGAAAAAAACTAAAATTTTAAAGAGAGCTTTTTGATTACAGAAGGTTAACAACCCTGCCTCTGCGCACCAAACATCAGTGACAGTTCCACTGCCTCATGCACAACATGTTCTGGGCCAGAGTTTTTGCCCGCGAAAGCCCGACGAGGTAAACATAGCTGCGAAAACTATGATGCCCGGTAGCTACTTCCTGGTTTCGATCACCGAAAGCACAGGCACCGCGCCCAATGCTTTATGTAGTGGCGCCCATTAACACAAGCCTTCGTAGAAACATGTAAGCAACACAAAATAACGTTTAAAACAGCCGAAAGAGCGCTTAGGCCAGGCCGCGTAGTTTACAGTTTACATATCCGAGAGTACTACGCCGCATAGTTTGCAGTAAGGAAATGTTGTAGAACACTTACCTACTTTGAGCACCGCTTCAATTCACAGTCCTTTACCTTCCGCATCGGGAGTTCCAAGCGCTTTTTCGTTACTAGAGTCCCGTAGGAAGGTCCTATGAGGATTTTAAACTTTCTCGTTGAGGCGTGTGGACGCGGTACCGGAGTAAGGCACTCACTCGAATACCTTTACATGCTTGTTGAACCTAGATAAGCATTTGTTTCTCGTCTTCAGTGAATCCTAGTTCAAGCTTCTCCCGAGTTTTCATAATGAAGGAGACGTCGAAACTCACTTGACGCCAAATATGTCCACAAGCGAGGGACGCCAACGAGCAAAACGAAAAGAAACAGGCCAGGAGCCATCGCTTAAATGAGCCAACGTTGCTAGACGGAAAAGCACATTTGTCTAGAAAACGCGTACAACGTTAGTTTCGAAACCTGCTAAACAGCATCTTTCACGATTTGCGTTTCGTAAAGACATGCTATGAAGAAAATTTTAAGAAGCAACTTCTTTTTGACGTTTGAAACCCTTTTTAAGAGAAAAATTGCAACCTAATCTCGCTCCCAGGCGGGAAGCAGCGCGAGCGCTCGCGACTTGAACGGGACTTGACGAAGGAAGTTCGCGGGAGCGTCTATGAAACGTAAAAGCCAGCTTGAGCGTTTTCAAGTCGAACTTGGTGTTGAGGCGGACTTGAGCAAGTCGAAGTTCGGCTTCAGTTGAAGTCACATCTATGAATTCGGGGGTTAGAGAAGCAAATTATTTTTTGTAAAACATGAACTGGGCAATACCTAGCGCCAGCTAGCCAGCTACTTGCAATTACTCTCTTGACCCCGCCATCTGGTGGCTAGCGATTTAACCTTACACGCTACGCGATAAACAGCGGCTTCGAGTTCGTTCTTTCGAGAGCGGCTTTTGGTTTCGCGGATTGAGTTTGCCCTTCTTCGTGATGTGCGGTTGACGAAGGAATTGTGACTCGACGAACACCAAAGGTAAGACGCAAAGTACGCGAAGTAACTGGGTATCGGTTGTCTCCGTTTAACATCGCAGTGCTGTCGACGAGAAGACTGAGTAACTGCTTTCGAAACGCAAGTTTCTGTACCTGTGGGGGGAATCTGGCTCCGGAAATAAACACAGTTTGCGGAAAGCTCGTGTTACGCTTTCATTTGCTGCTGCTCTCGTCCCGTACAAGAGACGTAGCGTCCTCGTCAAGCCTTATTGGGCTCGATTTGCTCGATTCGGGGCCGCCATATTGAGATGCAAGCGACGGAGGAACTTTGCTCCCCTGCTTCAGGGACGAAAGTTTCTCCCTTTCTAAAGGAACATAGGTTACAAGACCGTTCCCCCCTAAGGGAGGACTATCCATACCCTTTTTTCTAAGAGTGTAGGAGGCGAGACATGTGCTTCATTTCAGGCATAAGTAAATTTCTTTATGCGTAAATTTGTTTTACCTTGGGGATGTTTTCTACATTATTTATGTACTTCATGTCACAAATTGTCTGCAGTGTTAAAAGGGTACTACAAAGAAATTTCGGCGCTTTTTTATGGTCTATATATGTTCAAAGGAGGAGTATCACGTCGGACACACCAATATCTTGTTAAAAAAGACACGAAAAGGAATTTTAAAACGAATTAGACGATTAGCAAAGAGGACCTGGTGGATGTCGCTAACGCCTCGTTTGTAATGCGCGTCTTGGGACCTTAGTGACGGAGGTTGTCTCGCCTCCGGCCACGGCGAGAGAAGAGGGGAAGGAGGAACTCCCCTCTTCCCGAGAATTCCTTTTGTGCGCCCCAGACGTCGCTGTTGTCCCTCTACGAGATTATAAAAGATTAACCCGTCACTCAAAATTCATACAAAAGCAGCCGCTTCGGTGGCTGGAACGACTAGGCCATCCTCTGGACGTCAGCCTCGCGGTAGCTTTGCTCGTCTCGAGACGACCTACGTCACGATTGCTTCGGATGTCACGTGCTCTAAGCTGGGCCTTCTCCGAGCGCTTGCTAGAGTGGGCCGTTTATTGAGGAGTTTCAGCGACGGCGTCACCGCCCTGGTGGCCGGTCGCCCAAAGAGAAAGAGGGGGATAGGTCCGCTGGGCGTTGGCTTTGTGTAAATGCGTTGGCCGCGAACGTAGGCTTATGAACTTTGGCAGGAAGAATATTACGCGGCTCTAGTGTACCGGTAGGAGCAACAGAGGTGACACGATCTGCTACGCCTAGCTACGACCACCCGCCGCAGCGATGCAGGCGTCGAAGGAGCGCAACCTGTGTACTACGCAGTCAGTTGCCGTCGCCCCACCCAGGTCGTTTGGCATTCAGGGCTTTCCGCCCCGGGTTCTTCGCTTGTACTTGGAACCGAGTGTTCTTTCCTGTGCTTTTGTATTTGCTCAGTGGCTGGATCTGGATCTCTTAGAGCAGTTCTTCAGACTCAACAGCGACTCAAAGTTGACGGCGGAAGGGCTTGCAGCAACGCTTTCGGTTGGTGCACGGGTGCTACGACTATACGGATACATTTTAAGATTGCTGCTAGCAAGGTGGGCCTTAGTTGCTTTATGTT